AAATCATATTATATTTTCAATGCTTCATTCAACATAAAAGTCTCATGGAATGATCAATAAATATAACTAAAGTAAAATCATGAATGAGTGCTAATATACAAGAATCTACCTAGATTAAGATCATTCCTAACTAAGATTCCATAAACAAGCAACACTTTTCACATATTTTTGCATGAAATCTAGTAATGTTATGTAAAACATGAGACATTAATAACAATGATCAATAAAGCATCCTTATGTTCCATAAGTTTACTTATTACATCTCTTTTCGCTAATATAGATAAACACATGATCAAGGATCTTTAGGACTTTATTAAGCTTGTAATGTAAGGTTAGAGTCAAGGTATAATAAAAGTCATTTAGGCTTTAAGTACCCTAACAATGCAACATGTCTAGGATCATCCATCATTAAGCTTCAAGGTAAGAAAGGTAAGCTTGACAAAAGAATAAACCCCCAAACTTTGATTTTGTCCATTTTTCTTTCTTTTATTTTTGTTTTTTGGCTTTTTCACCACTTTATTACTTTTGCCTTTTTCTTTTCTATTTTTTGTGATTTTATTCTTTTTCACAACTTTTTTTTCTTCTTTTTCTTCTTTTTTTCTCTATTTTCTTTTTCATTCTTTTTTCAAGCTCCACCTTTCCTCCTCACTAATACATATCTCATAAATGGTGCATGAATGTCCTAATACATATAAGGTAAAAGACCAAAAAAATAGAAAATATATAGAATAAGGCTATAGGCTTGTAATGTGGTTTCAAAACAAAGAAAATGCATTATAAGACTCAAATTAGGTGACTATGAAAATATTATATCAAAGATGGCTCAAAAGGCTTAATTGATCCAAAAATGGTCTATATCATTTTTCTAATCATGTGTCTTCTAAGATTTCGCCTCGAGAAGCGATTAAAACAAATTATAGAATTATGAAACACAACTTTAAAGATTGATGCAAAAACAATCTCATGCTCACATAATTAATACTACATAAAAAATACAATTCAATGTTTAAAGTATCAACTTACAAATGAATACCATATTAAAAAATTCACTAAACCTAAGCATCATCTCATATTTCACACACATTCAATCTTTTCCTAAAGCTATATTCATTCTTAACCACTGCCTATCATTAGCTTTATGAAGAATTAATTAAAGAAAATATTATAATGATTTAAGTTACCATATGTTAAGCTTAATTTCAAGGCAAAAAATCAAGGAAAATTTAAAAATTTTGCAAAAAATTGTCAAAAATTTTCTAAATATCCCTAAATTTAAACAACACATTATCCTCAATGTGTACGCATCAAGCAATAAAGCTCAAAAGAGAAAGGAACAAGTAAACTCCCCTACCACCATGGAGGATGGTGACTGAATCTCCTATCAAAGCTTTGGCTGAAACTAGTGTATCCTTTTCTTCCTACAAAATAGGAAAACAACTATACAAAAAACTATATCAATATGTACAAAAACAAAATGAACACAAAAACAACTATAAACAAACCATGAAACCTAACTTCGTACAAGAAAACAAACATGCAAACACATATATACACAAACATGCATAAAAAAATAACATGAAAAATAAAACTTGGGTTGCCTTCCAAGAAACGTTTTTTTTAAGTCAAAGCTTAAACTATGAGCTCACAAGAATCAATCTAAAAAATGAATCATTTCCATTACTCCCCTAACCTCTTTTCCAAAATAGTGCTTCAATCTATTTTCATTCACTTTAAACGAAACCTTTTTCACTTCATTCATAATCTTACTAGTGCCACAAAAACAAACTCATGTCACCACAAATGGGCCTTTCCATTTCATCTTAAGCTTCCTTGGAAAAAGCTTTAAGCGAGAATTAAACAGCAACACATAATGATCGAGCTCAAATGTTTTTATCCAATATTGATTTATCAATCCACTTTTTCATCTTTTTCTTAAACAACTAGTACTATCAATGAAATTATTACAAATAAAATCAATGAAAATATATTTATCCTTAATTTTCATTATTAAAAAAAAATCAACTAGTTTTTATCTTTTCAATGTAAATAAAATAATTAAATTGAACAAAAAAAAGGTTAGAAACATATGGGTCAGGTCCCCTATGGTTGTCACATGGGTGATGGAACAAAAACCTGGATTCACTTCTCTTTAACTACCTAAATCGACAGCATTTTAACCCAAATAAAAATTATTTTATTTTCTTTTCTTATTCAATAAACTCTACCTTTTCAAACTTTTTTTTGACCTAAGAACAATAAAAGAAAGGTGATCAATCCTAGAAGTTGGTGATATTTCACCACCACTATTGTTCATCTCCTGTCATTTCCATTCACCACCCTTTTACCGAGACCACTACCAACCTGTTTCTTATTCTTCTTTTCTTCTTCATCAAAACGCCTAAGCTAAAAAAGCCCAAATTCTAGATTAAGCTTTTGTTGCTTGCAATAAGAAAATTTTCTACTTCCTATCCTCTAGTGCAATATTAGTTAAAAGAGCTCAAAGATCCCCAAAAATCTTTAAGCTAAAAGCCCTACCAACAATTCTTCTATTTTTTTATGCACAAACAATTGCTTGATTATTTGATTATGGTTTTTTGGTTGCCAATTTGTGGGTTTACTGGATGTGGGTAATTTAGGGTGGATTCGAGTCTTGTTGAGTATAGGTTTCTACTAAATTAAAGATTATGGATTGATTGGTGATGGTTTTTATTATTATTATTATTGATTTCTAATGGATTTCTAGGTTGCTTTAGGTTGATATTGGCTTTAGGGTTTTTTGAAAATTTTTTGAATGATTTTGACCCTACTATTGGCAATATTGCTTAATTGTGCCACTCTGCTTCTTGTTGAATTGGTGTTTCTAGATTACTGCTTACTTTTGCCTCGATTGTTAATTGCTAATAGCCTTTTTTTCTCTTTGTGTGTTTCTTGCTATATATTGCCCCTTTGTTTTGCTGGTTACCTTTCTTTTTTTGATTGTGATTCCTTTTCAAAATTCTCTTTTCCTTGGACTTTCACTGGTAAACCTCCCTTTCTCTTGGTTCTATTTTTTTTATAAGGATATTGTTTCAAATTTAACAGAATTCTAGATCGAAAGGAGTTTCAATTCCATTTTAATTAAAGCTTAAACTTTGATTCCAATAAAAAGCATTTTAATTCAAAAGAATCTAATCCCAGATAAATTTGATTTTCCTAAATTTTTTTTTTTTTTTTTTTTTTGATTTTTTAATTTATTTTTTGAAAATGAATAAAATAAACTAATAAATTAGATAAATAAATAAATTAAAAAACATTTATTTGTGTTTAAGACCTAAATCTAAAATCGAGTCCAAATAGACAAATCCAAAGTCTTACTTATTCGATAAAAAAACCTTTAGAACTTGAAAATAGAAAAAGTTTCAAGACTATAGGCAAAATAAGATGTTTACAGTTGATAGTACAAAAAAATGGCAAAAAATAAAATAGAACATAAAGGCATGAAATAAAAGAAAATGAAAGAATCAAGTCTCTCGAGCTCCCATGAGATATTTCTTAAGCTAAAGCTACTTTGGACTATCTTTTTATTGCAAAAATAAGCTCAAACATGAAGCAAAATAAAGTTGGAAATGAAAAGAACTAAAGTTGGAAATAAAAAGAATCAAAGCTAAAAAAAAAATGAAATTGAAAGTTAAAGTTTCATTACCAAAAACGTAAATGAAAAACTAAAGTAAAATGCAAATGAAAATCTCCTACCCAAAGTCCCTTTAAAACATAAGTCAAGCCCTAAATAAATACATGAAAACAAGCTAAAATAAGCCTCTAAAAGTTATTGCAAAGTTAGTAAAAGTGCTACTTGCCAATGATATTGAAACCAAAAAATGAAAAAAGATAAACAATCGTTCCCCATTAAATCCCATTTTCAACTTTCCCATTTTGTCCCTTCAAAATGTCCTATATCAAACATTATCCTACGCATCAAAAGTCTTTCTTAAGCTGTGCAAACTAGTAGCATTGCTTGACCTTTGTTTTTCATTGTGTTCCCATTTGTATCTTATAGTGACAACAATAAAGGGTTGCATTTTCAACTAACAATAGCTACGATTTTTCTCTAATTATATAGAAGGTCCTTGTTTGTCCACTTATGCACCATTCTTTCTTTATGCAAGGGGGCCAAATGTTCATTAATTCCAACTTATAAGTGGCTATTTTTTTTGCAACTAATTTAGCTCTCTTAGCTTGCTCATAAGGCTTAGTGACTTAGCTACGTGGCTTTGCATGTCTTTATTAGCTGCATAGCTTCTTTAATGGCTCATTGAACTTGAGAGGTAGCTCACACAATTTCAACACAGCTTGACAACTTGGTAAGCAGCTTAGTTTTTTTGTTCTTTTATGTAACTAAGTAGTTGAATTTTTTTTTCATGTGCATTGGAATGGCTCTTTAAAGCTTATCTTCATGGCTCGTTAACTCGCTTGAAATGTAGACAAATGGTGCTTCATCTTGCAATCAATCTTCAATAATTGACCCAACAACACTTAGCAAGTTTGTGTCGTCATTTAGATATGATTCCAATGGAATGGTAGCTACTATTTTATGGTTGTTTTTCTTCTTTTAAGGTGCTAACAAAGTGATGATCCAATGGTCTCCAATATTGGCCAATCTTTATGTCACAAAATTGCCAAGTTAGCTCATTTATATTTTCAGTTTAAATTGGAAGAATATAATTCTAACCATGAGATAACATATGGATAAGGCAACAATATTTTTTTCATCTTGTGTTAATGATCCAAATTGTTTTCAAGCAGCTCATTTCATGACTTGGTAGCTTCTTTTTCTTCCTCATTCAGTATCCAGTCATCTCTATAAATCCTTATACATCATCAAAGGGTCCAAGCATCATGTACGCTCATGGTTTAACAAGGTAAGTTGTATCCATAATTTTCTATGGTTCAACCTTGAGGTTTTTATTGTCATGAAAATTTTTGTTCCGTTTTTCTTTTACTTTAATTTGCATTTTTGGCTTAATAACCCACACAAAAGACAAAATAAACAAACTTAAGAAAATTTGCAAGAATTTGCTAAAGAATAAGCTAAAATTAAGTTTAGGATGATAAAATTCATATAATTAAGCTTAGGATAATTCCATAAAATAAAGAATTATCAAACCCTAAGCTTAGATGGCCCAAGCCACTAAGGAATAAAAATAAAAGATACCTAACTGAAAGATATGCTTTTCATATGGATCACAACCACAATACCTAAAACTATATCGACTTGATGAATGAAATAGAAAATTTGATTAAAAAAGGCTGGCTGAACAGATTTAGGGACTATAAAAGATAAGAATAGATGAAGGGGAGTTTCAAAAGTGGAAACAAAAGAGAATAGTTAAAAAGAAACCAAGATGAAAGAAGAAAAGGTGATAACTGAGGTAATATTGATCGCAGGCTTGACCAAAGAAACAAAGAAAGAAATGATATGGATAATAGACCCATTACAAGTATCATTATTGTAATAACTGATAGGATTTCAACATCAGCCAAAAAAGAGTTTGACTAGGGAATAGTTATGGCTATTAGGTCCATGGTCAAGAAATAAAAAAGTTGGAAGGATGAATCAATCTTTTTTAACTCAAAAATTTAAAAAGAATCTAATTCTTGCATGATGATGCTATCATTATACAAGTCGCGGTATACATGTAGTGAAAAGGATACTATTGGACAATGGGAACTCAACTAACATCCTTCACTATTTTATTATGTTAAGATGAGAATCACTAAGGAGATGTTGAAGCCTTTCACTACCACCTTAATTAGTTTAGGAACAAGTCGATGCTAGTAAAAGGTACAATTAGGCTATCAATCACACTAATAAATGAACCAAGAATTATTGTCACGAGCTCCAACCTTTGACTTAAAATCTATGCGGCCTTAGACCAGGGATGTATTCCTTAGGACTAAGTCAACCTAAAAATCAAGCATGCAGGTAAACAAACAGCTAGAAAGGCAGAATACGTAAGTTAGAGAGAAAACAAAGAGTGCGAGAATATACAGTGTATTACTAAAGAATAATGTGTCTGATGATGTGCAACTGAAGGTGAAGCAACCCTTTATCTATAGTTGAGGCCATTAACTTTACTTACAGCTATCTCCTAAAATAAAAAGATTTACAAGATTCCTAAAAATTAAGATTACACATGATTACACATATTACATGAGGCTCTTTTTTATTTTCAAGATCAACTAAATCCTCCTACTGAATGTTACTGATTCTAGATGCCTTTGAAAGATTTTGGATTGACCAAGCTCTCTTAGGTCCACCTAAGTGTGGTGCGAACATGGTGCGAGCCTAGTCTTAATTGTACGGGCAGGCTTGCATGTTATCTAGGTGATCTGGACTTATCTCATACGCTTATTATGCCATCATCCGTAACTATCCCTGGTGTTGAACCTTGGCCACATATGCTTCGACCTTAGTTCTTAGTACACCCGTCCAATGCATGACATTCTTCTCAATCTAATTACGTGATCCCTTCATTGCATCCTTTACGTGAAACTGCCTAATCTAGTCTTAAAACTACCATAAGTCCTTTGCTAGTTCCCAGCTCACCTCATTGTCTAGAAGTCTTTTCTAGTGCATCAAGTACTCTTATCTTGGCTGATAATTTTATTGCATTACTTTTTGACCAACAATGATGCTTTGGACTTCTCTCTCATATAGGACCTTAGCTCTCAATGGTACACACCTTGACTCAAGCTGTCTTAGATCTCTCCCGTCTTTATAAAATGACTTAAGTATGCTAACATGAAACATCGAGTGTACCTTTAACTTAAGTGGCATATCTAGCTTGTAGGCAACCTTGCCTACCCTATTCAAAACTTTAAAAGGTTCTTTGCACCTCTTGACTAAGCCTTTATGCAGACCCTTATGGTGTATGATGAGGTGTAGCTTCACCAAGACCAAGTCCTCTACTTGGAATTGTATGTCCCTCTTTTTTTGGTCTATCCACTTCTTTTACCTCTTCGTGGCTTTATGCAGATAGACTTTGGTCGAGTTTGCTTGCTCCTACTAAGCTTTGGCAAACTTGTACACTATTGGATTAGGCCTTGTATAACTTATAACAATTGAATCGGGTGTTAGCGATTGTTGACTTGTCACAATCTCAAAAGAACTCTGGTTAATTACTTCACCTCTTTGTAAATTATATCAGAACTAAACGACATCTAGCAACTTGGGCCAGTTTCATTGCATGGTACTCACATAGTACCTAAGGTAGACCTCCAATAGTCTATTCACTTACTCGATCTGCTCATCAGTCTGTGGATGCATGCTGGTGGAAAAATTCAAATTTGACCTAAATAGCTTGAATAACTTAGTCCAGAACTGTCCCGTGAATCACCCATCTCGATCACTAACAATAGTCATCGGTACTCCTTAGTACTTCACCATATTTTTAGGCACAAATGGGCTATCTCATCGGTTGGGTACTCCTTGATTGCTGGAATGAAAATCCCATACTTGAAAAACCTATCCACCACTACCATGATGCTTCTGAACCCCACTACCTTAGGTAGATTAACTATGAAGTCTAAAGTGATGAGCTCTTATAGTCACTCTGGTATGGGGAACAACTTCCAAAAAACCATATGATTTTTTAAGCTCTACCTTATCTTATTAGCACACAAGGTAAGTTTTCACATAAAGCTTCATATCATCCTTCATATGCAGCCAATAGTATTGATCCTCTAACAAGGCTAAAGTATGGCTCACCTCATATGAGCAGCCACCTTGAATCATGGCACTCGTGCAAAACCTCCTTACAAAGCTTTTCATACTATGGCATAACCACCTATTACCTTTAGTGTACAACAAGTGATCCTATAACCAAAACCATCTAGTTTTACCCTGCTTGGCATACTTGATGAAAGCTTTAGTTAAAGGATTATGTGCGAGCCTTTCCCTGATGCGTAGCACCAAAGACCCCTTTGGTTGGCCAATGGCAGTAAGGTTTGCCTTCCTACTCGGGGCATCAACCACTATGTTCACTCGCCTAGCTTATACTCTAACCTGTAATCAAATTCTATAAGAAAATCCTACCAGTAGGGTTATTTATGGGATAACTTCTTTTGTGTTAGGAAGTAGTTGGTTGCCACATTATCCCTCATAACTATGAACCTCGACCCCAACAAGTAATGCTGCCAAGTGTGCAAATAGTACACCATTACTGTAATATTCATCTCTTAGACCATGTACCTACGCTCGATCTCATTAAGCTTTCAACTCTTAAATGCGATCGAATGGTTCTCTTGCATCAGCATTCCCTTTATCGTAAAGTCTAATACATCCATATGCACCTCATACGACTTGACATGGTTTAGCAATGCCAAAACTGGCTCTTCGATCATTTGGCCTCTTTAACTAATCAAAAGTTTCCTGGCATTCAGTGCTCTATTCTTACGCTATTCTCTTTTTGAGCAAATCAATCAATGGTGTGGTTATGGCTAAGTACCTTTAATGAAATGCCTGTAGTAATTGACCAGCCTAAGGAATGACTTTAACTCAGTTACCCTGGTTGGCAGTTCCCATTCCAGGATGGCACGAACTTTGCCTGCATCTATACATATCTTGCCACCTCCCATTATGTGACCTAGAAATGATTTTTTTCACTGGGCAAATGAGCACTTCTTTTCACATACAATTCATGCTCTTGTAACATCTTGAACACCTATCTCAAGTGGTCTACATGCTCTTTCAACATCTGCTTATAGATCACAATATCATCAAGATAAATCACTATAAAACAATCAAGAAATGATTGAAGTAACTTGTTCATGAGTGTGCAGAATGTTATCGAGACATTGGTGAGTTCGAATGGCATGACCAAGAACTCATAAGAGCCATAATAAGTGACACACGTTGTCTTGGGCTCATCTTGCTTTACAATCTTGACCTGGTAATTGCTTAACCTCAAATCCAACTTGGTGAACCACCTTACACCTCTAAGTTGATTGAACAAGTCCATAATGAGTAGGATAGGATATTGGTTTTTGATGGTCGACTTATTCCAAGCTTAGTAGTCAATACACAACTGTAAGGATCCATCATGCTTGCGTTGGAACAAAATTGAGACATCATATGGCATTTTAGATGGCCTAATGTAGCCAACATCAATCAACTCCCCGAGCTATATCCTCAGCTCTTCCAAATCTTGTAGAGAATTCAATAAAGGGCCTTGGCTGATGGCTTGGCCTCAGGCACCAACTCGATCTTATGGTCTACCTCTTTTTTATGTGGTAACTTGCTAGGTAACTTTACAGACATCACATCGTTAAAAGTTTTTAGCACATCTAGCACCTCCAAAGGGGTGTCAATTTCCTTCTTCCTCAGTTTCTCATACTTCAGGATAGTTAAAAAGGTGTCTTCATCCCTACTCATTACTTTAACGAATTGAATGGTCGACAACACCTTGGACCAAATCTTAGACCTACGTCTTAATAGTATAAAACATTGGCACTATGCCTCTAGAATGCATATACAGTTTGTAAAAAACATAATGAGGGCGTTAATCCAAACAAGAAAATTTTACCCAATCACAAATTCATAATCATCCAAGGGTATTACCTCGATGGTCTCTTTGCCCTTTCAGTTTCCAATTGTAACTCCACTCCCCACGCCACTTCAATAGGTGAAACTTCATTGGTGTTCACCATCTTGTTTGTACCAATCTTTTTATGTACCTTTAAGCTAAGTTTCTAGGTTTTATCAGTTAAAATAAACAAATATGAAACACCTATGTCCATTAGTATGCTCACTTTATTACCTATAGCTACGAGATCCATAAATATGAAGCCCTTTGGCTTACGACTTCCCTTACTTTGGACAACAATGAGCACGATTGAGCCAATTTTTACTATTTTAACCTCTGACTCCTTGTTTGAATGATTTTTGTCTCTCTTTTTGAAATATTGATCATGGTCTGTTCCTCTATACTGATGTTTTCGATCCTTTTTGTCCTTACCCTTCTTATTGGGCTTGGTAGACTCTAACTTATTTTGTGATTTGAACTTCACCAAAGATTCAGTTGTAGTCATGACTTTGGCCAACTTATGAATTCCTCTCATTTGTAACTCTATGGCTTGAACCCATCCATCAAGGCAAATAAACCCTCGATCTTGCTTAAATATGAAATTTAAAACATCAATTAAAAAAACTTTTAGATATACTCTCTTATGTCCTTCTATTAGGTAAATTGGCATAATTTTGCCCATGCCTCATCATTAGCATACTCCAAGTAAAACTGCTATCTAAACTCATTTTGAAACTCCTATCAAGTTCCAATCATGGCATTTTCGTGCTTGACATCATCATACAATTTGCCTCAACACAATAAGGTAACATAAGAAAGATACATTAAAGCAATGTTTACCTTAGTAGCATCGTCCCATATGCCTATGGCTCTGAAGTACTGTTCCATCCTCTATAGGTAGTTGTTTACTTCCTTTTCTACCCTAGTCCTCTTGAACTTTTTGGGCTTGGGAATCTCCCCATTTGTAACTCCCTTTTGAGCTTAAGCTCTTTTTCCATAGAGTCTATCACCTAAAAGTGAGCATTTACCTCGTTAAGCTTCTCTTTCACATCCCATATGGTCACCTCCATCTTAGACAACCTTCCATCCATGATAGACCAAATGTCCCTCGAACTAGCTTTCTTGTCCCTTTCAAAGCCTTACTTTTGAGCCTCTGATTGTTGGTCAACAACATCACTCTCGAATACCATTTTCATGAATGCCTTGAGTGCAATCTAAACACCATCGAACAGAACCTACACAAAACATGCTCTGATATCAACTATCATAGGTTTCAACCTTTGACTCAAAATTTATGTAGCCTTAGACTAGGGATGTATTCCTTATGTCTAAATCAGCCTAAAAACCAAGCGTGCAAGTAAACAAACAACTGAAAAGGTAGAATACATAAGTTAGAGAAAAAATAGAGAATGCTAAAATATGCAGTGTATTACTGAAGAACAGTGTATCTAATGATGCACAACTGAGGTTAGGACAACCCTCTATTTATAGTTGAAGTCTTCAGCTCTGTTTATTGCTATCTCCTAAAATAAAAGGATTTACAAGATTTTTAAAAATCAGGGATGACACATTATTACATAAATTATATAAGGCTCCTCATGATTTTCAAGGTCAACCAAATCATCTTACTGAATGCTATCGATCCTAGATGCCTCTAGAAGATTCTAAATTGGCTAGGCTCCCCTGGGTCCACCTAGGGGCGGTGTGGACATGTTGTAGACTAGGTCCAGGCTGTGCGAGCGACCTAGACTAATCTTTTATGCTTATTATGCCAACCCCTGCAACTGTCTCTTGTACTTGAGCCTTGACCGTAAGTGCTAGAGCTTTAGCTCCTGGTGTGTTCGCCTAAGGCATAACACTATCACCTTGATCATTAAGTTTATTATGGTAGACATCCCTTTAGCAAACAACATGATTTTAAAAAGGTTGAGCCAATCTGTTATAAGAATTGTTAGCTCAGCTCCTCATTTTAAAATTAAATTTCCTACCTTTAATGGGATTTGAAAGGTTCAAGGAAACTACTCTTTTGCAAGGCAATGTTATGTTATTACTATGAGAGGAAAAATTGGGAAGTAAACTATGAGCTCAACCAAGGTTGAGGAGACCTAGGTTGGAGATAGAACAGAAATCGAGGTAATGATAGGAAAAACTAAGGTGAAAAGGTCTGAAGTTAAAAAGTGACATGCTAGTTGGGAAAGCAATAAAAAAAATGCTCTTTTAAAAACCAAAAATGAAAACAAGCTTTTAAGCTTGAAATTTGTAAATATTTTTTTAAGCCGATCTCTTAATCTGTTAATGAAAATTTTGAATTGAGCTATTACCCATGTCCTATAAATACATTACCCAATGAATTTATTCAAAGTTCATATTAGCATCATGATGCATGAATTTATTTATCACTTAAGGTGAATTAATCAAATACGTAATAATTCACATTGAGAATTATCCTTCTCATAGAAATGATTTCCTAACCTAAGTGACCAAAAAGAAATCATTAATTAAAGGCCCAAAATAGATATGACTAAACTAGAACTAGCAAAAAACTGCACACTTGTATCAATTTTAAAAAATAATAAGGGAAAATGCATGTAAATAAGAGCTAAGCTAGAGTAGAAAGAGAAATTGTTACAATTATTAAAAAATAATGTTGACCTATTTGTAAGGACCCCGTCAAATATGCCTTGAATAAATCCTTTAATAATGATTCATAAAATTACATATTGACTTGAAAATAAAAACCTATATAGCAAAAGATAAGGTGTTTTGCCCTTGAGAGAAAGAAAGCAATTGAGGAAGAAATTGATAAACTACTAAAGACTGGGTTCATCATGGAAGCATTCTACCTTGAATGCATAGCTAATATAATAATGGTGAAAAAAACACAATGCATTACAAGAAAATTAATATATTGCAATGGTCAAAATCATTGTTAAATAGTTATTTATATTTGTTAAAATTATTTTGAAATGATTTTATGTCATTGCAAGATCATTGTTATTAGTCCCGTTGTTTAAGAGTTAACATAACAACTTATAATGCCATTGATAAAAATAGATATTGTAACGACCTTTAGTTGTTGCAATATTAATAATATATTCACAACGATAAAAGTTATTGTGTAAAATCTTTCTTTAGCAACAATAACAAAATTTTACACAACATTGTTATTTTAGTTGCAAAAGATTTTTTATAACAATATTTTTTTTATTGCTAAATTTTTTACATAAAAAAAAGCAATTGCTAAAAAATTATTTTATAATGACAAATAACGTTGTATAAACTTCATTCAACCATATAAGTTGATTGCAACAACTGTAGCATAACAATATTATTTTAATTACATAAAATATTTCATAACAATTATACGTCATTGTTTTAACTTTTTTTAGCAACAATAAAATTAATCACAAAAGCTCTTATATAACTATATGATTGTGGTTACATAACATATTTCGTAATGATTAAACATCGTTTGCTAAACTACTTTTCAATAATCATAAAAGTTGGTGGGCAAAAACTCTTCCGTAACAAATTACCTTACAATATTTTGCAATATAATATTATATAATTGCTAATTATCTTTAAAATCATGATATTTGTTGTTTCAATAAATAATTTTATCGACAACTATTATCTTGAAATATCTTTTACATGTCAACTATTATAATCTGTAAAATTATATTTCATAATATATATTTTTTAATTATAATAACAATTTTTATCGTTACAAAATTTTTAACACAACCAAATTTATTAATTGTAACATCTATTATTGTTATAAAAATATGTTATAAAGTTTCGTTACACTTTCCACAATAAATTTATCGTTACCAATTATAAAATCATTTTGTTTATTATTTTTTTTGTAAATATAATAACAAAATATGTTTTAAATATATAAACTAATATTATATTTTTTATTGTAATAAATACTAATCCTAGCATTTTGTTTAAATACAATAAACTGTCAAAAAATACATAAAATTAATATTAACATAAAAAGAATACATTTTGTCATGAATTACAATACATTTTTCGTAAAGCACATATAACAATTATATTTTCTTAAAATGAAAGTACCATACAAAAACAAAATATGCAAAACAAAAACAAAATATGCAAAACATTCACCTTGATAACTACAACTATGTTATTTTAAGATGGTTTTCGCTAAATTAACCAAATATGCATACCATTGAACTAGAACCCCTTTTCTTTTCATAGCCTCTTTTGGATGATGCTGAACTTGGACTTCCACTAGATGTCCCATCAGCTCTTCCACTCTGTTTCCCGTTAGATAGTGACCTCTGTCATAAAATATTATTAGAATTCTTAAGTTGTATATGATGAACCATTGGCACAAGTAGTTCAAAGGAAATCATAAACAAATTTAACCCATAAATAAAATTAAATAGAACCAGGAAATGAAAAGTTGAAACAACAAAAATCATAATTCTATCCATATATCAATACATCTAAAAGGTTGCAGGTGAAAACTACTAATCCTTGGATAGTATTTTACATTCTTCAACAATTCGATTCTCATTGATAGTGATGTCATCAATTGATTTTAACATGGTATCTACTCCGTTCAGTCACTTTTATATTACAGTCCACAAACCCACAAACCAAAGGAATGCCTACTTGGCTCTAAAGCTTGATAAGAAAACAAAACAAATGATAGTACATAAAAAATGATTTTATTGTCAACTATACTATTATTGGGATTATAACACATTGCTCACGATCCTCCCTTAGTAGCTCTTTCCTGTCCAACAAAATCCATTAAAGGTGTAACTACGGGGGCATCCTTTGGTACACCTGAGAAGAAGGTATTAATCAAATGACAAAATATCAATACATAGAGACACCCAATTTTTAGTCATTTAATTGCACTGCTAAAAGTTTCTTCTTCTTTTTTTTTTTTCTCATTTTCCAACATAATTAACTACAAAGTGCAGATGTGAATAAGATTTGTGTGACTAACCAGCTCTTTCGGCCTCCCTTCACTCTAATTATATCTCTGCACTAGGAAGATTCTAAACTGGCTACGCAAGAAATTCAAGGAACTCCAAATACTCAGGATCTAGATGTTCATCAAGAAATAATTGTATTTATGAATAGGAAAATAGTGGCACATATAGGATCACATGAAATCATTTTAGACATGAATTATTCTTCAAGAAAATAAGCTTATTACCTTTGAATATAGTCCCTTCATGACCATTTGTTTTAGACCAGTGCTTTGGAACACGTTGGGAAGGTGCATACTGAACAATATTTTTATTGCATCAGTTTACTGTGAAATGCATGCATAGCATTAGTTTATTGCAAGCTTCTAATTTTGATAGAGGTTAATGAAAATAGATAATTAAAAAATTAGAGAATGTCTCCAAGAAAGTTATAACATTTCTTTAATTTAATATTTGCATGCTCAAACATGAGAATGTCTCCAAGAAAGTTATAACATTTCTTTAATTTAATATTTACATGCTCCATGCATGAGAATGCCAAAAAAAAACAAAAATAGCACTTAGACAGAAAATGTAAATGCAACCATAGAATGCACTCACTCGAAAGCCTCTTTCAAGTGCACTAGTTCTGAAATTGTCTGCAACACAACCAAATAATGTGACAGTGTAAAGAGCATATTCATTATCCTCATACAACTCCTTGGAGGACCTAGGGACCTGAAAACGCATAGCTGTGTTACTTCAAATGATCTCAACAAACAATAAAAAAGTTTAAAAACTAGAAGTAAACAAGTTTACTGATACAAAAAGTGAATGCTACAATCAGTAAGAGATATAAAAATAGTTATAAATAATATGCTAAAGCCAAGAACTTTCTGTCATCAATAAAAAAAGGAATTTTATCCCAAAAATAAAGTCTATTTCTCACATCATTGGTAATAAACTGGAACAACTAGTCAACATTCCAAGATTAAGCCATTCCAGAGACTTTAAAAATATCACAAGAAGAATAACTGCTCTGTCGGTGGCATTGTACATCACAAGAAGTAATGAATTAAACCAAAAAATAATTAATTTAAAAAGTTTAATAGAGGAAAAATTTAACAATCAAGCAAGAGAAAGCAGGTAGCAGAGATCACAAAGGAATCATCCAAAACCGTGCCTCATAGATCAGTAACAAGTCTCAAACGAGCACAAATCAGAAGAAATCAATAGGAGTTCAGTCGCAGCAGGTCAGCCTCACCTAATCCACCAAGTGCCACAAGACAATTCAAAAAAAATTAATAGGAGATCAGAAGAACTATTGGCAGAAAAATCTCAAAACAGTAGACAACAATTAGGAAAGCAATTTAGAGGCCACACACAATCAGCAAAGCATGGAATTCTTAGCCAAAAAAAGTAGGTTCTAGAATCAATCAATAACCCAGAAGAATCAAATGGAATTCACATCAATCCAGAAATAGAGGTAACACACATAGCAAATTCAATTAGCCTACAAATAGAAAATCCACCAAACCCAAACCCACAATCCACAAGCAATACAAAACTGTTTATACAAAGAATTTTTGGGGCTTTCGACTCAAAGGCTTCTGGGATTCCTTGTGCCTTTCAAGTCGATTTTAGACTAAAGGATAGTAAGTGGTAAAGCTTTTAAGTTTTTTAAGGGAATTGCGGGTAATAGAGGAGACGCTTGTTGTTCTTGGCTAGGGTTTCGGGTAGAAAAGGGAAAGATAGGTGCTGCGCCGCTGGTGAAGGAAGGATAAAGTGGCGCCACAAGATGGAGGAAAAAACAAAAAGAGGTTAATTTCTTGGTTGATGTATGGTGACGGTGAAATTTGCTAAGGTCTGGGCTCTCTGGGTTAGTAAAGGCAGGTGGATGTCAAGGTCTTGGGCTTAGATTTAGGCAATTGCAAAGGTTTTCTTGAAAATCTGGTTCGGCCAAAGAGAAGAAGGGGTTGAAGGGATACGCAAAAGGTGAGGCTACGCCAGCGCAAGATGGCGATCGTCGGACGGCTTGGTGGTGGCAGACATCAATTTCTGGGTGGGTGGGTCTTGTCTCTTGGTTGAAGATTGAAGAGAGAAAGACAAAGAAATGAGTCCTATTCTAGCACTTTAAACCAACATCACAGGTGACCCGACCCGCTATTAAATCAGGTTTTTTTTCTCTTTTTTATTTATTTTATTTGTTTGTTTTTCTGTTTTATATTTTCCTCTTAAATTAATACTTGATTTTTGCATAGATTTTTTTTTTGCATGATTTATTATTGGCATGTTTATGATATATTTGTATGAATAATTATAATTGTATGATTTTTATGGATATTATTTATTTGCATAATTTAATATTTTTGCATGATGCCCTTTTATATTTATCTCATGATTTTTATTTGCATGATTATTTGATAATATTGCATAATATTTTTTATAAATTTTTTCTATGATCATATTTTCTAAATTAATAAAAGGATTGAATTTGATTTTTTGATAAGATATTTAATAAATTTGATGGACCATCTTCAAGTAAACAAGTTTATCTTAAATACTTATGAGGTGAAAAAAAAATTTTTAATAAAAACTTAAAAAAATTTTCTAATATTTTAAATATCAAAATTAATAAAAACCCATATTTGATTAAATTTTAGGTAAAATAATATGTAATTAATTTATTACCAATTTTAAGCGTAATAAGGAACTAAAACTTTTTTAACATGTAATCAATTCCTAAACTTAATTTTTTTAATATAGATAAAAATGTATTCTTTTTAGAGATTATTAGTTTATGCTTAAGATAATCTTAAAAATAATAATTTCACATAAATGTCCAATCACACAAGTAAAAAATATCGGTGATGACTTCATAATTTTTGTGTCTTATAGTTAAGTTTTCAAATTTAAACATTATGACAATACATTATTTTCATATTAATAATTGATTATAAAATCAATTTGGTTAAAAGTGTTTTTCTTGCCACATGTCATCTTTTTTTTTTAACTTTTTAAAATTTTTTTCAAATAAAAGTTTTTTTTTTTGCTATTACGAATATAATATTAATTCGCAACGATAAAAATTATCATTATATAAAATATTTTAAAAAAATCAATTAAGCAACAATTATGAAAGTCTTGCAAAATGTTATATCATTTTGCAACAAAAACTCTTCATTGTTACAAATATTATAAAAATTTTCATAATAATTTTTTTATCATTGTATAGAATATTAAAAGAAATTAAACAATGACATTAAAAAATCATTACAAATAAAATAAAATTTTTCAACAATAATTTTTTATCGTTATAAATATAATAAAAAATTTTTATAATATTTTTTTTTCGTTGCATAAAATATTAAAAAAATAAATTAAGCAATGACGTTGAAAAATCGTTACAAAGAAAACGAGTTTTCGCAACAATAAATTTTAAATTTTACAAATATGATAAAAATTTTCATAACAACTTTTTTGTTATTATATTAAATATTAAAAAAATAAATTAAGCAACGACATTAAAAATTTATTGCAAATAAAATTGAAAACTTATTGCACATAAAACAAGTTTTTGCAATAAACTTTTTTTCATTGTTCCAAATATTATAAAAATTTTCGTAACAACTTTTTTGTCGTTATATAAAATACTGAAAAATATAAATTAAGCAGGGACACTGAAAAATCGTTGCAACTAAAAAAAGTTTTCATAACTTTTTTTTGTTACAATATTATAAAATTTTTCGTAATAACTCTTCTGTCGTTATATAAAATATTTAAAAAATAACTTAAGCAACAACATTAAAAAATGATTGCAAATAACAAATTTTTGCAATAACTTTTTTTGTTATTACAAATATTATAAATTTTTTTGTAACAACTTAGTTTGTTATTATATAAAATATTAAAAAAATAACTAAAGCAACAACTTTAAAAAATCGTTGCACATAAAACAAGTTTACGCAATAACTTTTTGTTGTCATAACAAATATGATAGAATTTTTTGTAATAACTTTTTTATTATTGTATAAAATATTAAAAATAACTTAAGTAATGACATTGAAAAATCGTTACAAATAAAATAAGGTTTTTGTAACAACTTTTTGTTGTCGTTACGAATAGTTGAGGAATTCATAACAATAAATTTTATCATTGCATAAAATATTAAAAAAAGTCAATAAAGCAATGATTATGAAAAGTCATTGCAAATATTTCACAATGATATTTTTAGTCGTTGCAAAATAAAGTTGCGAAATATTCATTTTCTTACAATGATGGGAAGTGGAGAATGTGTGTCAACTTCAACATTTCAAAAAAACATGTCCAAAGGATAATTTCCTCTGCCCAACATAAATTAGCTAATAAATGATAATTCTAAACATGGTTTGTTTAGTTTCATGGATGCATATTTAAGATACAAGCAAATTAAGATGTTGAAAGAAGATAAGCAGAAAATAGCTTTAATGATCGAGATATGACTATACTGTTACAAGGTGATGCCATTTAGACTAAAAAATGCAGGGTTAACCTACCAAAGATTAGTTGACAAAATGTTTGAAGATTAGATCGATCATAAAGTTAAAGTATATGTTGATGATATGATTGTGAAAAACTAAAGCTTGGATAAACAGTTAGAAGACTTGGAAGAAACATTCAACACCCTAAGGAAGTATAATATGAAGCTTAACTCGAGTAAAAACGCCTTTTGAGTTACATAGAGAAAATTCTTGGGATATATGACCAATTAGAAGGTTATAGAAGCTAATCTAAAAAAAAGTTTGAGCTATTCTAGATATGAAAGTGCTAACCTTAATAAAAGACGTACAAATGTTGACATGAAGAGTTGTCGCACTGAACATGTTTATATTGAGGTTGGTAGATTAGTGCTTATCATTATTTAAAATATTGAGAAACATATCTAACTTTAAATGGATGCCATAGTGTTAATAAGCTTTTGAAGAGCTCAAAGAATTTTTCTCTTTCCTTTCTATATTATCAAAGTTATAGCCTAACGAAGTATAGTACCTCTATATCGTGACCACAAATTAGGACATTAGCTCGACATTGGCCCAAAAAAAGTAACGAAGTTAGGACCAATATATTTTATAAGTAAAGTATTGGCTAATGAAGAACTTAATTATCAAAAAATTGAAAAACTAGCCTATATTGTATTTATTTCAACTAGAAATCTCAGACAACATTTTCAATCTCACATAGTGAATGTCTTAAATGATCAACCGCTGAGACAAATCTTGTAAAAACTTAAACTATCTAGTAGATTAATTAAATGGGCAATCAAGCTCAATGAATATGACTTACACATATTACCCAAGTTGGCCCTTAAGTCACAAATACTAGCTGATTTTATCATTAAGTGTACCTTAACTAGGCTTGAAAAAGAGTCTAACATGATTGATAGTTGGAAAAAAAAAGATATGGAAATTATTTATGGATGGGTAGGCTACCAATAAAAGAAATGAAGCAGGTTTAATCTAATCAACCTAGAAAACATAAAATTTTTATATGCATTAAAGTTTGGGTTTAAAGCTTTGAATAATGAGGCAGAGTATAAAACACTAATCGAGGCACTAAAATTAGTGGTCGACCTAAATTTGAAAAGCCTTTTTATGTACAGCGATTTACAATTGGTGGTTGAGTAAGTGAATGATGAGTTTAGGGCCTAGGATGAAAGAAAAAAGAAATACGTAGATAAAGCACAAGCACACTTAGCAACATTCCTGAAGGCTGAGGTAAAAAAAATATCGAGTTTATACAATAAATTGGCTAATCATTGTCTAAATTAGCATCTGCGATAGCTTAGCACATGTCTTGGTCAACAAATTACAAGAAAAAAACATTAATAAGAAACAGATTAGTAAGATTGAATTAAAAAAATCGTAGATGTCCTTGATCAAAGCATATTTGATGTCGAGAGAGATACCCAAGAACAAAATTCTAATAAAGGCACTAATTTGAAAAGCTCTTTAGTACACCATCATTAATGAAAAGTTATCTAAAAGATCATTCAATTTACCATATTTGAGATGTATAGATAAAAGAAAAATAGATTGTCTGCTCAAAAAGATTCATGAATGGATCTAAAAAAATCACTTCAAATCTTAATCATTAGATTATAAGGTGTTAAAACAGGGGTATTACCAGCTACCGTCAAGAAAGTTGCGACTAACTTAATTAAAAGGTGCAATAAATGTCAAAGGCTTACTTATGTCTAACACTTACCTTCAACTTAACTGATTTTGATAATAAGCCTATGGCCTTTTTATATAGTGAGATATTGATTTGATCAAACCATTCACCCTAACCACTAGATAGTGAAAATTCATACTAATGGCTGTTGATTACTTTAACAAATGGTTGAAGACCAATGCACTAGCTACCATTACAAAATCTTAAGTAAAAAAATTTGTATAGAAGAACATAGTTTGCCAATTTGATCTACATTAATCTAAAATTCACCTCAATCGCTCATCCATAATTTAATGGCTAGGCTAAGGTAGTAAATAAAACTATACTTGAATATTTAAAGAAAAACCTGGATAATGCCAAAAAACTGGCCCAAAGAGCTTCTTAGAGTATTATGAGCACTAAGGACTACTACTAAAGTCCTCATTAGAAAAACTTATTTCAATCTAGCTTTTAGGACATAGGTAATAGTCCAAATAAAGGTCAACCTCCTTAGCTTTCGAGTCAAGTTGAGTGGTTAAAAAGGGAATAAGAAAGCCTTAAAGGCTAATATCGGTTTGACTAAAGAGCAAAGAGATGTTATGCTCTGATAAAGATAACAACTTATCAGTAAAAGGTCTCTAATTATTAGAACAAAAGAGTCTAATGAAAGAGTATTTATAAGAGCAACTTGGTATTTAAAAAAGTAGAAGCTTTTGAAATTGATGATCGATAAGAAAAATTGACCCTAAACTAGGATGGCTTATACATAGTGAAAGAAGTTATCCAACCTAAAGCTTGTAGATTATTACATTAAAATTGTAGCATTTTATCACCTTTTTTTAAGCAATTTCTCTTGAATATTTAGTTGTTTCTTGAAAAAATTGGCAAAAATACACTTAAATACATAAATATTCAATGTGTAAGTGAAAATATGAAAATTAAGGAAATTTGGAGCTTTTGGACTCATTTTAAAAGAATTTTGGTGTAAAAAGTTATGAAAGGCCAAAACTAGTGTGCAT